ACACCCACCACACCGAAATTGAAAGAAAAAGTAAAAGCTGAAACAATGCTTTGGAAAAAGCAACAGGAAAAGACAGTTTCTTTGGTAGAAAAGATTCTATAGTAAATAGAAGTTAAAGTTTTAAAATATTCCTGACAAAACACCAAGGGAGCTTAGTAAGTATTAATGGAGAGAAATACAGGGAAGTCCTAGAGTCTCAGTTTCCAGCGGAAATAAACTCATTAAACACCTGCTTTAGCACTCTAAGCTTCACCCATGTGGCACCAAGGGCAAAAAAGCAAGAAGAGAACCTTACTCTGAACAATTTTGTCTCTCACCTTTCGCTATATGAGAACCACAGCACGGCTATACCACCAATAATGCCACTATTTAAATTAATAGTAGTTTAGATTGTCTTGTGTTTGAGCAGCGAGAGAACACGCAGCATCTAATTTCCAGTCAGAGGGAAGAAGGAAGCAACTCACCAGCTCTTAGCAAAGGGCAGCCTTGCTGAGCAAACAGCCTCGCTTGTTTAAGGCACTGCCTGTCTATTTTTACACTGGGATGCTCAGCAGCTCTCCTCCAGAGCAACCTGCGTGGACTTTGAAAACATAGGAGCTTACTCCAGTGCTGTCATCTGTCAAAATACCAAATCCACAAAGGTGAAAACAAAGGTATTAAGCTTGTATTTATTCACTCTTCTCCATAGAAAAGTACCTAGATAGCAAGCGAAGACACAAAATGCRCCCTATTCAGGTGTTAGTCTATTAGAATTACACATAACTAGGTATTACTTGCTTTAAAATAAAATCCACACAAAGTCAGTTAGTAGCCGATTTCAAGGGAAATTAAATGTACATGCAGCTCTTCAAAACAAAGGTTGAGAAAGCAAAGATTTCTTCCTTAGTATTTCTGATTTTCATTTCCCTGACAAACATGCTGAAAGGCCAGCTGAATGCACCAGCACAGCACTGACCAGAGAAGTCTTGCCATTTTTATTCATTACCAACAACGACACCATTTAATGAACATGCTGTTTTGCTTAAAATGTTTATGTATGGTGAAAACAAGTTAGTTTCCTACTGCTGTTGCAGGGCTTTTGCTAAGCCCTGTCTCTGACGTCTCCTACAGTATTGCAGAGCCAGCTCCTTTACTCGTGTCTCTGGAAGCGTCATTGACATTCACCTCTTCTGGAACTCCCYATTTAGTTCTGTTTGCCAAGACTGATTCAAAGTTTTCAGCTTGAGTTCCAATTTAGAACTGCCTGCAATCCTGTATTTCCATGTATTTACTCATTTACTGCACACACTTGTCCTTGGCAGTGTTTACACAGTCCCAGGCACCACCTTTGAGAGTGACACCAAGCCTTTTTTAAAGGAAGGCCAGATCTCTTGAGGTTTAGTCTTTGTGTAGCAATCAATTCCTGAATAGACTGCACAGAATTAAAGGCATCCAACTACTGGCAGTGAKGCTTGCCTTTATTTATATCAAGAGTACATATTAGTATCCTCAGAACACATTAGTATCCTGTCGCAAGCAATTTTTGCTCAGGAGCATGAAGTTCATCAATCAAACTCTCACCCAAGGAGAGAAAAGAAAACAAAGACAGAAGCACAAAGCTGAAAAGCCAGGCTTTTGCTATCCTGTCTACTYTGCCACCCTTGCCAAGACATGAAGCTGAAGATGCTTCCTTTGCAACAGTCATTAAGTCTTCATGTGTATCTCTAGGAAGAGAATTACAAGATTTTGACACCTACTAAGCAAACTCCTGATCCCACTGAAATACACTGTCCTGAGAAGATGTAGAATCCAGCTGGCAGAGAGGAGGCAAAGCAGGAACACTTGCTCTGCACTGTCAAGAACAAGCTGCGAAATGCAGTCAGTGGAGACTGGAAACAGCAGAATCTTCTTTGGTACACAATGAAATTTGAATGGAGAAAAAAAAGAAACAATTGAGAAAGAAACAATTATTATCCCCAGATCACTCTAAATTAAGGTTTAGGAACTATGGAAAAATACACATATGATCAGGTGCCATGAAAGCAAAGTACAGACACCTTGGAAGATCAGTTATTCAGCGTATTCAAGCATGCCCCAGATATATTAACATTCTCAGGTACACTCTCACCCAAATGAGTAAGAAAATATATATATATATTTTAGACAGTATTATCATGCAAAACTTTGGGAAAAAAATACTCATTTGCTGACTGGATGCAAACTCCGTGTTAGATCAGCAGCTTCAGGAGGTGCTACAGGGTTAAACGGGACTTCGCTCGCTTTGACTTCACTTTGTGCTCTCCTTTCCACCACCACGAAAGCAGATCAGTGCAGGGCAGGACAGATACCTCCAAGGCTTCCAGCAACCTGACTGCACCCAAGAACACTCGGTCACAAGCAAGAGCTAAATCCTGCTCAAATAACTCACCTCTAAAAGCAGTGGGCACCACTCAAGGCAAACAGTTTTGTAATCAAGCACAAAACCTTTCTGCTCTCAGAGYGAGTGAAGCTTGAATTAAGTATTTTGAATGCTACAGACCTATAGCCCACTTTCAGTAATTCCCAAATTTTTAAACCTGCTGAGGGCTGGAGTACAGCTTCTACAAAGCTTTAAATTAAAATGCTATCAGAAATAAGCGTTACTTTGCTTAGACAAAACAGATATCCCACCGAGATGCAGGAGGCTGATTTTAAAGCCTGCAGCTACACTTAACATTTATTCCCTTGGGTTCGACGTCCTCACTCTTCCTGGCTGTGCCATCAAGCAAGAGTATTTTCACACAGCAGCACGGGTGCRAGCTCAGCTAGGGCCAGCTGAAATCATGTACCTGTTGCAACATCCTGACTCCGGCCCCACGTTTACACAGTCACGATACAGCTTGCACTTGAGAAACCTTCTGCAATCCCCATCATTTCATTTAGGGCTGTTACCTTCTGCCCAGCGAGAGGTTTGACTTCAACTCGTAGCTCACCCTCCCACAGAYCTCAGCCTTGACCCTTGCATAGGCAAACAATTCCAGATTAAGGAACTGAGTGAGGTGGAAATAAAAATCAGAGCATACATAGGCATATTTAGGGGTGTCTTCTTTTACAAGCCAGCTCCTGGTGTAGTTCACAGCTGGTTGTATCAGCGGGACCAAGTGATGCAGCAGCACTGAGAAGCTGCTAGAGCTGCATTTCCACAGCCAGCATCACTCCCAGAGGTTCCATAGGCTTCACCAAGCATTTAAGGATATCCCAAGTGTAAGTTTCTTCCACATGAGCTCTCACAGCCAGCGAATCATCCGCAAAAAATTCCGCATTTTGCTAGATGCAGAGTAGCCTTCTGTTATAGCTGTTTTCTCCTGTTCTGCTATAACTGTAAAAACGGATAAACTGGAAGCACCGCATTGTATTGAAAAAGCAGCAGCTGGAAAGTAAACTATATATATTTATATATATTATATATATTCAAAAGATTTTCCATCTGATACAGGCACAGGTGTTACTATCATTGCTTCATATTACCTTTGGAAGAAAGCAGTCCCAGAGCACTGCCCCTGGCACTGACGAAGCTATTCCTGGGTATAATACAGCTCTCCCCACTGCACATACTGAAGGGGAAGGGGCTGTTCAGAACTACTCTGCTCCTGGAAATCGGGATCCCTGTGAACCCCCAAGTTCAGCATGAAAATTCAGGCTTAGAGACTAATGCTAAAAATACCCTTCCACTGGCAGGGCGACTATGAAATCTCCAGTGTTACATAGCAATAAAGAGACAAGTGCAACCCCAAACACAGCAGGGGATTCCCAGGAGATGAGGGATCTTTCTGATGAAACCTACTCCCAAATAATATAGAACATGACTAAAACAGGCAGTTCTGACGAGAGAAAGGCTGATCGGTGCAGTCCAGAGCCTACATTAGCTCGGGAACCTGAAAACCTGATTTGGTCAGCAGGGCAAAGCAAGGGTCAAGGGAGAAATACTATTGTAAGCAAAAAGCATCAACACTGGCACAAGGATAAACTGGTGATAAGTTAGAGGTTTCGGAAGAGGCAACAGCTTGGAGAAGTGAGGAAAAAATATAAACAGGAGAGCCTAGAAGCTGGAGCCTGCTCTGTTTCTGGGAGACTCTGGTGGGTGAGCAGGGAGCTGGACTTTGAGGCGTTTTCCAGCGCGTGCTGGCAGCGCTGAGCCCGGCCTGGCTTTCCCAGCCTGGGTTTCCCGGCCTGGGTTTCCCGGCGCCGGGCAGCGTGCGGAGCAGGGAGCAGCAGGGCTCCCTCCTGTCCTGGCTGCCCGCGCCGCCGCTATCTCTCATCCTCTGGCAGGAACTGGCCTTTCCCGCCGGGAGGGAGCCGCGGGGGGAACTCCCTGGCGTCCCAAGCCTGTGCCACTTGCAAAGAGCACGGCTCTTCGCGGAAAGGCTGCGGAGAAGAAGAAGTGTCACTCGATGTGAAACCGAACCAAAGCTGGCACCGGGGCCAAGGGGCAAACTCGGAGTTCCTGGTGATGAGGAGCCCCAAACCCAGGAGCTTCTCTTCCATATACCCTCAGGGACAACCCAAGGACCCCAAACTGTGGAACCCTTCAGGACGGCCGTGACGGGGACCCGGGTGCCGCTTCAGAGCCGATCCGGAGCAGGGATCGCCCCAAGCTCCTCACCTCGCTTCACCTCTCAATCCCACTGTGGAAAACGCCTCACCGGATAAAACCCGCTAACCCGCTATCAGAAGACCCTTTCTGAGAATATACAGAGAATCATGAAGCGCTAGGACGGAAAATAAATGAAATAAAAGGGGCGTCCCTTTCCACTCCACATCTCCTTCGCCCAAAGGGCGACAAAGCCCCGACTCCCTGGCTGGAAAGTTTGCGCCGGCAGGAAGGAAACAGAAGCGCTCGCTTTATGCACCCCCAGGCTTGAAACAAAGCGCGAACTTCAGCAGGAAGAAGTTAAAAACGTGACTATTTCGTGCGTGAAACCGGGGTGCTCCTCCCGCCCCGGTGCGGGGGCCCCGAGAAGGGCACGGGACGCGGCCCCTACCCGCGATGGTCTCCTGGTAGCCYTTGGTGAAGAACTGCATGGCGGTGGCCGCCCGCCACGGCGTCTTGAGCAGCCCCTGCCGCTGCGGGTCCTCGCCGAGGGAGCGCAGGATGGTGGTGTAGGCGGCCGCCAGGCTGGGCAGGCTCAGCTCGTTGTCCTCCTCGCTGCGGGGCCGCTCGCCCCGCCAGCCGCCCACGGCCACGCGCGGCTTCTCCGCCGGCGGGGGCGGCGGCGGCCGCTCGTCCCGCGCGTAGCCGTTACAGCCCC